GATCGCTACTGTTATTTATTGGACCGACATTACACTGCTGAACCGTTCTAAGAATACATCGAACCGCCTTTTTGTGGGAAAGAGGAGAGAGACGCATGGGTAAAAATAAGGGAGGGTAGTTTATACTCTTTTTTTTTGGGGTTGGGGGGGGGGGGGGGGGGGGGTATTAGCTAGAAAAATATATTTTGGGGAAAAACGTTTTGCTAGAAAAATGTAGTTTGGAGAAAAAAGTTAAGTCGTAGAAAGTCTAGTTTGGGGTTTGTAATTTTCCCTATATCTAAAGAGATAGAGAGAAATCTTAAATTTTAGAGAGAGGCGACTTTTCCTTTTTGTATCCTAGAGAAAGAGATAGAAAAGGGAAGGATGTACAATAGACATGCACTTCCTAAAACCCTTGCATAAATATTGCATGCAATATTCTTAGAGAGAGGTGTACATGTAAAGAGATAGAGAGAAATCCTAAATTTTAGAGAGAGGCCATGTTTCTAAAAAATATTGCATTGCAATATTCTTAGAGAGAGGAATCTGTATCCTTTTTGTAATTTAGAGAATAATCTCCCAAAAATACTGTGCGGGTGTATATCTATAGAAAGAGAGAGCACTTCTAAATTATACGTGTATATCTAAAGATATAGAGAGACTCATTGATCCAATGTATCTCTAAAGATAGAGACTTCCTATAAATATTGTATGTAGAGATATAGGAAGAAAGGCAAGAGAAATCCTAAATTTCAAAGAGGGGCAACCTTTCCTTTTTGTATACTAGATAAAGAGATAGAAAAGGGATTGATATACATAAGTCATGCACTTCTTAACAATATTGTATAAATATTTATTTTTTTGACAAATGTTACTACTTTTATTGATAACTACAAAAAGAAAATTACATCATTAGAAACAACAAGAGACGGAAGAGAGGCTCCACCCTTTGCCAACAAATCAACCACACTATTAGCTTCACAATAAACATGAGAGAAAGAGACTGAAACAGTAGCTGCAATATACAGAGCCTCAGCTCTATATAAACTTTTCCCATTAAGAAATTATATGCCAATGACTATTTTGAAAAAATAAATATTTATTTTATCTGCAGGTGCACAAACTAGTAGGACTACTAAGGAAAAGTTCATCACATGAAGTATTTTTCATTTTTAAATGAGAGAAATGAAGTTTTGTATTGAACTATTGTACATATAATATTGCTACTTTTCCCTTTTATTTTGGCTATATTGCAGAATGGTATCCCTTTTCTTATTGGGACTCATATTATTGTATCACTAAAATAATAAGTTTGTTTATATTGTTATTATTATTCAATATAGTAATTGGTAACCATTTAGGATTAAAGAGAATCTGTTTTGATTATCTGTTATTATTGGAATAAATAGTCCAACGTTTGACGCGAAAGCAAAATAAACAATCAAGAACCGAGTATCATATTTGAGTGCTTGCAAACAAATTTTAATGAATGAATTTGGAGATGGATGATCGACTCGCATAGAAAAATTCGACAACTACAAGAGCTACTGAAATCAGTTCCACTGCAAATCAAGGTGGAAGCTCGTGAATACTTAAATAAATATGGCTCGCAAACAAATTTTAATGAACAAATTTGGAGATGGATGATCGACTCGCATAGGCAAATTCGATAACTATTAGAGCTACCAAAATCAGTTCTGTCGCAAATCCTGAGAAGCAATCTGAGCTCGACTATCACACACAATTCTATCGCTTAGGCCCGAGACCCTCTTTATAACTCAAATGGGAGAGTGATTGTATTCTCTGACACTCAACCTCTCTCTCTCAAATAAAGCTCTCACACTCTTTCTCGTGTGTGTGTTGTTGTATAGAAATGTCTACCCCTCCCCCTTTTAGTGAGAGAGAGGGCCCTCTCATTCTTGTGGGAGTAACCTTCTCATAAATGGGCACCATTAGAATGCATAGTGTATATCATTCATGGGTGAGTAACCCCCTCGTGATGATGTTCAAACACCCCCCACCTCCATGAAATAATGTAAGTCATGAAGGGGGTGTGATCGACTTGGGTGTGTCCTCACACTAAGGACGCACCCTCATGTCTACATCTCCCACTCGTTCTGTATGTGAGAAAGGTTACATATTCAAATAAGAGTTGTTGTTCAGTATTGCATTGTGAATATTATTTTATACAAAAAGAAAATGCAGTGTGTGACCCACTGGAATGAACATTCTATTAGAGAGATCCATACCAAGTTTCCAACCAACTGGCATAGAACACCTCATCTCTCTAATACCTACAAAATAAAAAATTACTCAACGTACCCTAGACCCGATTTGACCACACAGGGCTAAGTTCTCAACTAATCCCTCATGAGTCCAGCTCAGAAGATTACTTAGCTCACTCCTACACAATTACATTCAATGTACATGCAATGTGTACGATTTTCTTGTAGTACCAAGACATATTGTGCTATCAAATGGTCTTTCCTTATGACTTAAATTATTCTATTCTAGCCCGACCATTGTCTCAGTAAGTCTCAAATGAGTCTCATACTTGACTCTAAGGAGTATATACCAAGGTGAATAATCGAAGTAGAATTTCCTAATGCAGTCTAAGGTCTATGAGGGCATCATGCGTCACCTACTTATTAGCCTCGTATAGTGGCAAAAAGGAACATGGATCATCTTTTTCCACATGAGTAAGTGTCTTAGTCATTAATATAACACATGTGGTATGAATCACACGTCATAGTGGATCACATAAATTGTGCATCAGAATCCACACCATGCAGGTTAAAGTCTTTTCGCAACCAAGCAACCGGTCACCACCTAGCACTTCACAGTCACATCCATGTGTCAACATGAACATCCTTGATGTTCATCCCTGGCTTCTTACAAGCTACATGATCATAGGGACATCAATTTGAATAGATCATATCAATTCTCTTAATGGAATCTCATCTCGAACCCTTGGTCAAAGAGATAAACATACTATGTATATATCTCATCCTCTAATATCCCAGATATTGAGAGTAGCTCATACGAGCAATGAACTTTAGCATGCCAATGAATTAAATGACAAGTTTAAAGTGCACAAACCATCTATCATAATGTAAAATAACATCCATATTCTATTATAACAAGGGAGCAAGATCCTATAGAGTTATATAAAAGCATAGGGTCTTGAGGCCCATACTTCTTGCATGAATCTAATAAGTGGCTTTGATAATTGCCTTATTCAAGGGATCCGCCACTATTTTAGTTGTAAGAATATGAGTTAACACCACCTGTCCATGTACAACAATGCATCAAATACAATGATATCTAACATCAATGTGCTTTGACTTTCAATGGTACTTAGGGTATTTTGCAAAAGCGAGTTGTTTTATCATGAAATACAGTGACATGCTCATTAGCAGTTGCAATAACACCCAATTTTCTTAGGAATCTCTTTATCCATATAACTTCTTATACTGCTCCACTATAAATAATGTATTCAGACTTCATAGTGGAGAGAGCAACACATGAATGCTTCTCGCTACACTATGAGACTGCACTGCCTCCTAGCAAGAAGACATAACCTAAAGTTGATTTACACTCATTTAGGTCTGCTGCCCAATCAGCATCACTATATCCCGTAACCACAAATCGGTTCCCTAGAAACATCGCATCTGACCCGAAGTTCCCCTAAAGTATCAAAAAATCATCTTCATTACTTGCTAATGATCTTGTCAAGGATTACTCTCATACCGGCTAATAAGACCCCCCTGCATAGCCAATATCTAGATAAGTGCAGAGTATCACGTACATCAAACTACCAGCCACACTTACATTTTGACATTTTGTTCCTCTCAAATTTTAGTAAGTGAATGAATAAAGCTAAAAACTTTGGTCATTTTGAGGGAAGAGAGAATAATCACAATACTACTATCATTGGTACAAGTTAGCAATCCAGGCCATTGGGAATTGGGCCATTAGAAAAATATAAGGAATCAAACAATTCCAAGGTCCATAAACCCGGATTGACTGCTTATTAGTCTCAATCCTATAGACAAAGTATATAAATAAACCTTTTTTTATAGGTGCGATTTGTATAGAGTCGATGCTCTAAACAATCAAATTAAAGCCCACCTTCAGATAGTATCAAAAAATATAGTTTCAATACTGGAAAGTCTTGTGATAGCCTTAAATTCTATTTTCATCTTTAATTATAAAATTTAAAGCATAAAAAGTAGTGTAAATCAGGCATATCCATAAAAACTTGAAAATCTTGAAAATTGATGGTCGAAAACATGTGTCACAAGATGCACTATTTCCAAAACTTAAAATCATTTTTTTTTCTTCTCATGTCCATGCATCTTGATGTTGAGATGATCAATTTGAGGATATTTGAGCATCAAAACAACCTCTTCCAGTTAAAGTTTTGAGGTAGGTTCTAATTTGATTGTTTAGAACTTAGTTCTATATAAACTTTACCCTTTTTTTATGGGTGCGGTTTGTATAGAGCCTAAGCTCTAAACAATCAAATTAGAGCCTACTTTCAAATAGTGCTAAGAAATATGCTTTGATAGCTTTAAAAGTTTTAAAGCTTCAAAAATAATATAGATCAACATATCTAAAAAAACTTGAAAATCTTGAAAATTGACGGTTCAATTACAAAATATACTATTTTCAAAATTTGAAATCTATTTTTTTTTCATGTCTATGCATCTTGATGTTGAGATGATCAATTTGAAGATATTTGAGCATCAAAACAACCTCTTCTACTTAAATTTTGGAGGTAGGCTCAAATTTGATTGTTTAGAGCCTTCACTCTATATAAACTTTTCCCTTTTTTTATTTTAGTACAAAAAAGCCACGACAACTCTTGCCGTTAGATTGTAAATCAGGTGTGTTAGTAGCGAAATTCAAGATTCAAAAAGAAATTTTTTTTTTATCAAATTTGACAAGCTAGTAATGATGTGACCTCTTTTGTGATAAGGGTATGTGTCTCACACAAGCCCAATGAAGTGTTAGTTTGGCCACGCATATTTTGGCAAGGCGAATAAGAAGCGCCTGTAGATATTATACCACGAAGGGACGAGGGTGGCGCACAACTGAAAATGTTCGACCCAAAAAATCCCTAGCAACTCAACCATCCATCTCTCTAACCCTTTCTCACTCAAAACCTGCAACTCGACCATCAATTGCCAATCGCCCAAACGAAGCTCAACCCTCCAGCAACTCCTGTCCTCCTCAGCTCAGGTCTATTCCCCTCATCGCCCCCATTGCTGCAAGCTAAGAGCTCAGCGAAGGCTACGGTGAGTCCTTTTTAATTTTTTTTATTTTTTATTGCTCAAAAAAATAACCCAGATATAAATGAGATTTTATTTCTGATTTAGGTTTCTTTTTTTTTTTTTTTTTTTTTTTTTTTGCTGTTTTTTCTGATTAGGCTCAAATAAGATTAGCTCCAAGTCTACAGAGAGCTTTTTTATTTGATTTTTTGTTTCTGTTTTTTTTCCCCTGTTTATGCACAAAGAAGAAAACCCTCATATAGTGACACAGTTTATTTATTTATTATTTGTGTTTTATTTTTCTAGTTACATAAATTTTGATGTGGGTTTTCTGTTTATTGAGAGGTACTCTTCGGGGTTCAAGAGTTTGATTAATTTGATTTTGTGTCTATTATGTAAAGTTTTTTGGGCTTTAGGTGTTTGATTAATGGATCATTGTTTCTATCATCTTGTGTTTGTGGTGTGTCATTGAACTAATTTTCATTTGGTTTTATGAGTTAATAATCGAAGTACTCTTTTATTCTTTTTAGTTTTGTCTATTGATGAAATCTTATTTAGGAGGTTGTATTATGCAGTAGGATTTGATATCTATAAAAGTGGGTTCTATTCTATTGTCATTTGCTTATATAATTTATGGGGTTTTCTGTTATTTGGTTTTTGTACAACATTGGGTTGAAATTTATGGAGGAATATCCTTTGCAGAATGATATATTCTTGGGTTTTTCTGGTTACTTGACAAGTTCTGGGGTTTAATTTTGTTATGTTGTTGTTGAAATGGCATTATCTCTCACTGGCTAATAGAAAGTTGTGAAATTGAAATTTTTAACCATGTTCACTTCGTTATCCATGTGACAAGATCATTCTAGATTGAATTGCGATGTTTGTCATATAATTCAGTTTGGAAGTTGTAAGTTTGAACTATTTTACCTGCTTTGGTTTGTTTTAAGTTTAGTTTCTGCTTTAGATGTTGTGGCATGTTGATTTCTCACGTTCTGGTTTTGAAATTCGCTCTTTATTAATACATATTATGCGGTGCAAACAATGTTGTGTTATGCTTGTATACCAAGCATTCAGAGTTTTGAGATTAATATACGTAGATATACAATTTATTGATGTTGATCTTGAAGTAAAATTATTTGTGATACTTCTCTGACTTTAACCCTCTCGGTTCATATAACTGTTATTTTTCTTTCTTTGTAATATTCATAGGCAATTTAATTCTTTTAGTCTCTATATTCTTTTTTCATGTCTCTTTCTCGTTGATTTCTCAAAACATAAAAATTGCAGAAGTATCATGATTGGGAACTTACTTTTAGTTTCACTTGGCTTAAGAATTCTGTGTGATTAACTCCGCCTCTCTGTTTCCTTATACGTGTTGCAATTTTATTGAGGCTATTTCTAAGTTACATAGATGCAAGATTAAATTTCAATCTTAACCATGCATTGTCAGAAATGCATTAGATAGATAGTAACAAGAAAATCTTATTAAAAAATATTCATTAAACGCATCAAATCATGAAAATTCATAATGAACGATTAAAACATGTTGTTTCTTGCTTTCCCAGCATCAACATTACCAAACAGGCAAAAATAGCAGCACCACAGGTTCCCAACATACAGGCTGCCAATTTTCACTTTCTTCCATATTCCAGAAAGTCAGCAGCAGGGAGAATCCCTGGGAAATTGCAGAGAAAGTTATCAAATGCACCCTTAGGGACTCAGCTGAATGAGTGTATTGGATAAGAGACTTGAATAAACCTAGAAATATTTTTGCCTCCATGGATTCATCATCTACGGAGAAGCGCCAACGCCTCTCTTGCACCAAGTATTTTGACGCTCTCTGGTTCTGTTACTGTAAGCTACCTGTCCTATCAATTACTTTCGCCATTATCTCTCTTTTTACTTTTCATGTATATATTGTAGGCTTTTGGTTTTGATTTTATAAGGGAAGTTTGGTCAATATCTCCACTGTAACTGCCTCTCTTTAGCATAGATTCCATTTCATGTCTTCTGTTATTGTATCATCATTCTCATTTGACATGGTGTAGGAAGATTGTCGAGCTTCAATTGAGTTTATTTTCCATCGAAATTAGGAGGAACTATGTTGGCAATTGCCATACATTTCTCTTTAATTCTTTTTGACAATGTTATTTTATTTATTTTATTAGTAATTCTTCTTTTATGGGTGAGTTTTTTTACGGAAGATCCAGGTAAGGGGCTTGCCCCTGCCATGCAAAATACTTTCCCTTCATTTATTTCTTTTGCCAATGATAGATGCAAGGAACTCCATGCTGAACAAGTGCATTGATTTTGACTTACCCAAAAAAAAAGTGCATTGATTTTTGCTATGCAGTTGAATTTCTGCATTTTTTTATGATTTTGAGGAAATGAATCCTCTTGTTCGTATGTATTGCTGATATTTGACATGGGAAATTTTTTTTTCACAATGGATCAAATTGAAAAGTAAGAATGGGTGAAATTCAATGGGTATTGTCAGTAGTCTAATGTGATAGACGTTCCAGATTCTTTGAACCCAAAACATTTTGACCTGCAAAATGATTAAAGAAACTTGGCGCCTCACTTGGCATGCTCTGAAGTCAGTCTATTACTTACAAAAAGGTCACTTGGCAGCCAATGGAAAACCACCAACTATAGATGATCAACAATGAAAATTTTACTCTTATAAACTAATTACAAGGTACATAGATCCTTCTTCAACTTTTCCAATGACACTAACTAGCTCTACGAGTTCTATTAATTTTTTCCCCTTAATGACTTTTGACGGAAAGAGAAGAATACATCTTCATTAGGGGGATCTTATTACAGTTTGAAGCCTTTTATGACTGCAAAACCATGGCTAAAGGAAATAGATTGGGAAATTATACATGTTGCATCACGATGTCTACTGTAGGCTAATCACAATGCAAGCGATGTGTGGATCTTCCACTGTTCTTTTAATTTGTTCAATTCACGCTTCATGCTCATTGTTTCTCTCTTGCTTTACTCACTATTTTGGTTTCCTAAACCATAATTGGGCCAATTCAATAAAAGAATCGTCTAATGTTGTAAAGGACAAGAATAATTGGGAACTTTCGCTTTCTTCCTAAGAAAGAAAAATTGGATCCAACTAGAAATATTTAACTGAAATTTAAATCTGATAGCATTGTTTCGAAAAGCAGCCCGCCTAGCGCCTACACAGGCCAGGGGGGCCTAGGCGCATTGCCCAGGATGGACGGGTGAACTAGGCAGGCACCTAGGGACAACACCTCCCCAAAGGGCCAAAATTGCCCCCAGGTGGGGGCATTTTTTGTGTTTTCTCCCCAAGATAAGGGGGAAATGGGGTTTAGAAATATTATTGAAATTTAAATCTGATAGCAATGTTTCAAAAAGCAGCTCGCCTAGCGCCTACGCAGGCCAGGGGGGCTTAGGTGCATTGCCTAGGCTTGGACGGGTCAACTAGGCAGGCACCTAGGAACAAGACCTTGCCAAAGGCCCAAAATGGCCCTCAGGTGGGGGCATTTTTTTTTTTTTCCCGAAGATAAGGGGGAAATGAGGTTTCTAAGCCCCTAAACCCATTTTCAACCCTAATAGACTCAAACTCAAAAACTTTATCAAATTTCAAATTTGGTTGGACTGAACTTCAAATTTGAATTTTTCAAAAATTGTTTGAAACATCATTCATTTGTTTAGGATACATTTTCATGCATTTTGGATGTTTATTAGAGGAATATCAGCGAGATTTTGAGATTGGCAAACATCTCAAAACATTGACGATTGGGTTGGAAGTATGGTCATAACCCGAATTGGAAGGACAAAAAATGTATAAGGATTGTAAACGAGATACTAATGGGGGTATAAACCAGTTCAAGAAACACCTTGCCGGTGTTGGGGGATGCCCATTGTAAGAAGGTCCTTGAAGCTTTCAGGGAGGAAACTAAACAATATTCAAATTTGGTAAAACAGAAAAAGAACAAAAGGAGGTTTGCATAGCAATTTTTAAGGGCTGGGGTTTGTGTATTTGATTATGATGAGAATGAGGATGAAGGGGTGCTAAGGTAGATCAATGGCTTTGTTCCAGTCTAGGAGAGGTAAGGGAGTTGCAATTGGGTGTGGGCCTAAGAGGTCTAGGGTGAAGGGGCCTATGTATTGTTTTTGTCCCTAACCTTGATGTTACAGTTGAGAAAATAAAGAAGCAGGCCACCTTTGAAAATTAATTCGATCAAGAAGAGAGAAACTGAGTAAATAAGTACATTGCTCGGTGGACATATGAGGTGGGCATTCCTTTCAATGTTGCTTGCTGAAGTAGCTTCTACACCATTGTGGAAGCAATTGGCCAATTTGGGCCTGAGTTGAGGTCATCAACCCCATATGAGATTTTAGAGCCTCTTTTGAAAAAGAGGTGGAACTTATGAAGGAGTTTGTCAACTGACAAGAGAAGGCATCAGCTTAATATGGGGTATCTAGTATGACGGACTCTTGGAGTGATAGCAAGACGAGTTAGATGAATTTTGGTCAACTATTCTTTAGGGACAATTTTTTTGAAATCTATTGATGACTACATGATACTTGATACATATATAAATGATTGAGATGGGTATTGAGGAGGTTACTTAGCAGTGTGTTAATCAGGTAGTCACAGACAATGCTGCTCCTAACATAGCTACTTCTAATTTGTTGAGCCCAAACTACCGTAGTATCTTTTGGACACCATGCTCAGCCCATTGCATAGACTCATGCTTGATGCTATTGGCGGTATGTTTAGGATTAAGGCACAATTAGTAAGGCTAGGTCAGTTACAACCTTCATCTATGCCACACCCTCACTTTTAACATGACGCACAAGTTTACAGAAAAGGAGATAGTGAGGCCGGGGGGCACAAGATTTGCTACTTGGTTCTAGTTTGCATAGCATATATATGAGGAGAAACTAGTTGAGGGAGATGTTTACTTTTGAGGATTGGATAGGATGCAAGTGGGCCAAGCATCAATAAGGAAAGAAGGCATGAGATACCATCCTATCTAGGAATTTTTGGCGTGCTGTCAAGCAAGTGCTTAAGGCATATTTTTTCCCCCTTTAGTGAGTGTTTTTTTTCCCCTCCATGGGCTACATATGTGAGTCAATAGAAAGTCATAAGAGATAGATAGTTGAGAACTTGGGCGATGATGAGAACCTCTCTAAGCCAGTTTGGGAGATTGTTGATGAGAAGTGGGATAGGCTGCTATCTTTACCATTGCATTTACCTAGTTATTATTTGAACCCAACTTTTCTGTTTTGTTGATATAGATATTTAGACAAATGACATAATTATGATTGGATTTAATCTTTGTCTTGAGAGGCTCGTTCCTAGTTAGGAAATCTAGGATTAGATATGTGCTGAGGAAATAATTCTATACAAGTGTGCATTGAAGCCATTTGGGAGTGCCACGACGGTGAGGCAAAGGGTCAAAATTTGATCCAAGTAATATTTAAATTTCTATGTGTTTTAATTACTTACTTTCACGTTTTGAGTTTCAACTTTTTAGGTCAGGTTTCACGTTTGATGTTTCATTTCATTATAATTCATAATTAACTATGGACATCGCAATCAATTTGCAGCCCATTGGTGGAGCAAGCATGAGTATAGTGCTCCAAACTAACAATCGGGGCCATTGGGTTCTTGAGCCTAACCACTAGCTCATTTGGTTATGAGCGGAAATGGAGTGCTTTTGAAATGGTATGTTACTTTGCTTAATATAATGTTGTCATGTTAAGTCTTTAACTTTACTCTATCAAGTACTTAAATTTTATCATTTTTTTTTTTGTGAAACTGAAATTTAATCAAATTATTAGTTCAACAATTAGTAATTACTATCTAATTAATATTTTTGGGAAAGTAGACTTAAATGGGCTGGCCATGTAACATAGGCCTAATACAACACTGATTAGGAAGTGCGATTTGGTTCAAGTAGAAGGCTCTAAAAGGGAGAGGGTAAGGCCCAAAAGGACATGGTTTGAAGTAGTGAGAAAAGATATGGTGACTTATGGTCTTATTGAGGGTATGACCCTTGATAGAGCAGAATAACTTAACAAGATTCGTGTAGCCGACCCCAAATAGTTGGGATAAGGCTTGGAAGATGATGATGATAATATAATTGATATTTTTCATTTTATGTGTTTGTTCCCATATAGGTTCATACAAAGAAAAGAAACATGCTTGGATCAAGGAGGTGCGATGACTTCGTTTATTTGAAGTACAATTGAAGATTAAAGGAAAGATTTGCCAATGGCGATAAAAGAGACCCACTTAAAATGAAGGACATGGAGAATGCTATTGAGTGGTTTGTTTAAGAGGATGAGGTCAAGGGGCATGAGGGACTGACATGGGATATGGTTTAAAAGGTATCTAGTAGAGCAGTCGACTCTCGTAGGGCCACTAGATTATCCACAGTTGTTGGGATCTGGAGCGAGAATGGTACCAGGATCGGGATCGGGTGCAAGGGATTGTAAAATGCTAGAAGATCCCTATGCTCGGGAACGTTCTCTGTACGATGCACATGTTAAGGATCGAGATTCCTATATGTTGGCGATCAAGATTCCCACCTTTTGGGGATCTTGATCTTGACCTGTTGGGATCTAGATCCCAACTTTTTGGGGATCTCGTACTAGCCTAATGTGTATGATAATCTAGAATCATGTATAGTTTTTAACATAGGGATCTTATGATTGATAGCAAGCAAGCAATGGTTGTGTTGCTAGTTGGCTATAAACAAAGAAAATTATCAGTTTGGTTGTTGTCTTGGTCTTTAAGGTAGGGCTCAAAATCCCTAACAGCAGGAATAGGGATCCCTATGAGTGGGGTTCGAGATCCCAAAATTTAAAAATCAAGATCCCCGAGAGATCCGATCTAGGAGCTACAAAATCGAGATCCTAGAAGGGATCACTTACCAAAGTAGATCCTGGTAACTATGAGATTATCTTCACAAAGGAGGAGGGGTGAGAGGAAGAAGAGGAGGAGGCAGATTTATAAGAATTGGAGGAGGACGAGTGTTATGTTGAAGAGGGAGATGATTTGATGATGATGGACAATGGAGTATGGTCTATGGACTATAAATTATGAATTGTGATTTGTGACTATGGGGTGTGTGTGTGTGTGTGTGTGTGTTTTGGTTGTTCTAGTAGTCTAGTACTTTGGTTTGGAACTTTGGATTATGGGACTTCAATATTTTATGACGTGCCAATGTATTATTGTCATTTGCCCAATGTGATATGGTACTAGTTTTATGTTTATGGAATTTGGAGTGAGTTTATGGATTGTGTACTTTTGGTAGTACCATAGTATTATGGTTGGGATTTGGTATGATTCCACATGAAAATGTATAAAAATGCCGGAATATAGGCATTTTTATACAAAATTTGGACTTAAAACAAGATTCCCAGGACACCCTCTTGCCCATGTTGAACCTGGGCTGCCCAGGTCTTTGGGTGCATGCCTAGGCACTGGACAACCAGGATCCCCTTGGCCGCCTAGGTACTGCCCTATAATTTTTTGAAACACGGACAAATAGTGTTACATAATTTCACAAAGCCATGCTTTATACTCATAATTTGGTCTAGCATGTTCTTTGAAACACACTAACTACAATGAAACCATTATTTGACAAGTGAAATTAAGAGTACCAATTATATTGAGGTCAAAAATGAATTCTTAGATGTTGATAAAAAATATTCTTACATGAGTAGCAGGTGACTAATGTAACATCATCAAATGGGAAGTTTGAGAGTGGCAATTTGTGGAGCCAAGCTAACACGATCAAAGAATCATAATGCTTGGGGAGGATGCCTAATCCTTACTCCCGTGTGAACATGAAATCTAGTAAGGAGATAAAGCTTTTTTGAAGGAATGGCATTTGGGGGGAAAATTCTTGTTGGTTGGGACAATTTTTTTTCTCCATGATTATGTTTTTAAACTAGTGTCTTTCATTGTACCTTTGGTTTAAACTCGGTATATGTGTACTCGTGTTTATTGTGTAGTGTATTTTTAGCTTCATACCAAAAGATAAAATAAAAAAAAGGTGTGGTTTGTTTAGAGCCAAGGCCCTAACAATCAAAGTATAGCGCACCTTCAAATAGTGTTGAGAAATGTGGTTTCAATGCTTAAAATCTTTGTGATGGCCTTAAAATATGTTTTCATCTTTAATTATAAAATTTAAAGCTTCAAAAATAGTGTAGACCGAGCAGATCTATGAAAACTTGAAAATCTTGAAAATTGACGGTCCAAAAATGCGTTACAAGATGCACTATTTCCAAAACTTGAAAACCAATTTTTTCTCATGTCCATGCATCTTGATGTCGTGATGATCAATTTAAGGATATTTGAGCATCAAAACAACCTCTTCTAGTGAAATTTTTGAGGTGGGCTCTAATTTGATTGTTTAGAGCCTCGGCTCCATATAAACTTTTTCCAATAAAAAACAAAGAGAAAAGAAAGAAATAATAGCTCCAAGGCCAGACATTGACCTTGATACCAGTAAGACAACGATTGGATCAGTCTGGCCAGTTCAATCGCTTTGGATCTGAAGTGGACTATCAACTGGTTTACTTGATGGTTCCTTCCTCTTGAGAAGCCCAGAGAACCAAGTTGAACCTTCATCACTGGGTTGAATGGCTTATTAAATGCTTCAACTTGAATGGGACTGCCTTTTCCATATGGTTTCTTAATTTGATTTGGTTTTAATCAGTGTTTTAAAATGCAAGATGCGACCCAATGTGTTGGGGGGGGGGGCGATGCGGTCCAGACGCGGGTGCATCGCTGCGATGCGGTCCAAACGTGGGTACATCGCTGTGATGCGATCAGTAAATATAAAAAATTCTAAAAAATCTAATAAAATAGGTTAATGCATAAAAGAAAAAATATGGAGGTGATTTATGTTTTATCAAGTATTTAGAGTATTCATTAACTCCAAAAGTATCAGTTGTCGCCTGTCGGAGATTCTGTATCGACTATCTCCTGATAGAAACTAGAAACTTGAAACTAGCTTCATAAAACCTTCAACAACCATAAACACATATTTGCAACCACAAACTTCAAAGTTACAAAATACAAACTAAAAGTCTATGAAGATTAAAGAGTTCAAAAGTCAAGCTCAAGACAAATCATCGTCATTTCTCAACTCTCAAGTCTTGAGATTCTAAATTTCAAATCCTAATCCGAGAAGTTATCTTGAGAGTCTCCATGTGCATCATCATTCTAAACTTCGCCTAAACTTCCTCAAATCAACACCCCAAAAGAAGTAAATCGACAACCAATCATTAAGCAATACAAAACTCTAATAACTTCACAAAAAATTATTTCCACTTCTTATTTTTTTATTGATTTGATTCATAAAAAGCCATGATGTGGCTGTTTTTAGTTGTTTTTTTTGGGGGTGGTATAATACGCTCTAAAACCCTTTCCCCCCATTTTCAGGGCTCAACATGTCCAACGTACCCCTGCCCGAGGGCTTTTTTTTTTCCACGGAAATGACTGGCCGCATATGCGGATTATGCAGGATGCAGCCGCATGTCCGGTCTGTTGTGATGCACTTCCCAGCGCTTACTCTTTATACAGCTGCATTTTAAAACCATGGTCTTAACTCACTTAGGTTGAGGCGGAGGGCTCCTAAAGAGTGTCCTTTCTGTTCTGAACTTTTGAGCACCTCTGCTTTATTTTTCTTGTATTTTGAATCATAAATAATCCTTCAAATTTAACAAGATTCCATTGTTAGTGTGCCTGCTATGCTATATGTGGGTGCGTCAGTTTCTTTGCTTGGGTTTAAAAGAGATCCTGGTGTCTATCTCAAAAAGGAAAGCATGTTTCCGTTTAATCATATGGTAGATTCACATCTTCCAGAGATCAGACTTCTGGTGTGCAGGATTATAACTTTATATTTGATATATAAATCCTTTTGTTTGGATTTGATATCACTCTTCTGTTTCCATTATGGCAGGCTTTATGTACTTCTCATGTCTGTTTTTGTTAACATGAAAAGCTTATCTCTCTGCTTCTCTTGGCAGCTCCGGTTCACCAAATGCAGCAGTATTATAGGCTTGGAGTTCTGGATAATTGCTCTGAAAAGTGGAATGCACTAGTTGATTGTCTTAATCTAAAAACAAAACGGACATCTGAAGTCGAGGTAATATAAGAAACCGGAGTTGTTGGCTTTATCTACATCTTGATATGAGAGACTTTCATTGCTTTCTATACAGTACTTTCCTGACAATTCACCTCAGCATGATGCAAGTGCAGCACCTAAAGAAGTATGATTTCTTCTGAGGCATTCCTTATCTCTAACAGAGGATAATTTCTTCTGAAGCCTTCCTTATCATCTATGTATAACCTTTGTCTGATTTTGATATTGTTCAGGTATAGATATATATTCATTTATAGGGGCTCTTTTCTGAGGTCTCCATATGGCTTGAGAGGGTATTCTCTTTATTTGAACAAAACATAGTGAATATATGTGTTTCTACTTCCCGGTGCTGCCATTTGTGCATTCTGAAATTCTGAAATTTACCAAACCTGATACTGCTGACGTAACTTGAATGCTATCAAAGGGACATGGTATCAGATCTTGAATCAAAATATCATTTGCACGTTTGACTTCAAGAGGACCATGACTGACTATCTTGAATTCAAGCCAGGGCAGTTTTCAGTCTTATAGTGCAAGAACGGCACCATGATTGGATTTATACTTTTTCCTAGTACTTTTCAATTGTTTAGTATCTGCCGCTTGTCATGTATCACATGTTTGTGTTACCTGCTTTCTTCATATCAGGGATCTTTATATACTGGTCCTGCATGTTTGTGCCTATGCCTCATTAGTGTATTGAAGATTGATTTCTCTTTGGTAACACTCCATGATATTGGTTGTGATTCAGGAGATTCTTGAGGCTCGTGAGAAGAGCAGGACCCATATTTGGTCATTCCGAAATGTGGAGGAAGCTTCGACGCATTGGCAAGAACTGTTTGGTCACATAAATGAGGGTGAATGACAAAAACATGTTGCTGGCTTTTGGGTATATTCATGCTTACCCTTGGAATTAAATTGTAAAAATTCGAGTCTCAAGTAATAAAATTTCTGCTTAAAGGTGTGTCTGGATGCTTCCCAAAATGCATGCTACATGTTTTCAGTGGCTTTTTCACTGAGGACTGGAATATGTGCCAGTGGCTTCTTTGGATGCTACTTTTTACTTGTTTTTTATGTGTGCATCGGTACAAGAAACACCACCACTTTGTTTAAAGAATTGACACATAAATCACGCAAATAAGCTGTGAGTCTTCCACTTTATTCTTGTGGTGGTTGTACAATTGGGCTGAGCTTAGGTTTCGGCATCAAATTTAACCAACTGGCAGCCTTCTGCCATTGTTTTGGTTTCCATGCTTTTTTTGGTGCTTTTATGAAATGTGCTTCACATTTGACTACGTGCTACATTTAACACTCAATATAATTGTGTCCATTTTGTCTGTGAGTGACTTTAGAAACCTGAAGATGGACATTGGGTTCAAGCTAATAATTGTCCTAACAGGATTGTTCATATGGGTTGAGTTATATTTCAATCAAGGTTCCTTCGAACCACGCCTTATAGTGAGACACTTTTGCATTGTTATATTTTTGAAAGTTGAAACCCCTCCAACTTCAAAGAAGGTTATATGAACATTTCACGTACAGGCATCTTGATATTGTCACTTAGGGAGCAACTTCAAAAAATTCTAAAATCAAAGCCTAGTGTAGACCATCCAGTTGGATTAATTAATCTGAAAAGTTACTTTCAGATTTGGGAAGATGGTTAAATGAAGACAATTTGTCTCCTAAAAGTTTGAACTTGTGCTTATCTTTATGATAAGCGATAATTCATGATTGCTATTTGTAGTTTGGTAATAAAGTTTGGTGTTTGCTTATTCAACCTGGTACTAGTTGAATGATATTTGTATTTGACGCAAAGGTTCAAAAATTTTAGGGACATGATTTATTTGCTTGTTTCATTTCATGTTTTTAGTATTAGGAAATCAAAAAAGTCGTGCTTGTTATAGTTGCTCAGTTTTGGGTTTTCATAATTTGAATATTGTTTTTTTTAATTACCTCAAAAAAATGTTCTTTTTTTGTTTATTTGATCATATGGGGAATCATGATTCTGGGTTTGGGCTTCACCGTTTGAGGTGAGGTGTTGGCCATTGCAACCCTTCATCCTAAGTTCGAATTTAACAAGTGAACTTCTGATAAAACTGACATGTAATTTGGACTAGAGTCTACTGACCTGAAGAGCTTTGGATGGCTCTAAAGGGAATATCCAATACTCTAGTTTTGGCTGATGCATTCTTTGTCGTGGGTGTGTGTAGCAAACTGCTCACATGTTCCAAACCCAATATTTCATAGTATCTGAGGGTTACTTAGTTAGGAAAGAACATCCTTGTTGATGTAGTTATTTTTCCTTAATCAGAAGCATGCATTAGTGGCTTGGTTTCTTATTCGTTAAGGGCATATCTTTCATGTACTATTCAATACAAACCCAAATAATATCTTCAGGACTGTATTGCTTGTATCAACCACACATGGAGGTTTGGTGTTTGATGGAATGGGGTGTGGATATGTTTTGTGGGTCGAAGGGTATAAGCTTGCTTTCTTTTGGTGAACACGTAAAAAATAATTGAAGGATGAAGGCCGCAAGTATCTCATCTGTGTTTGTGAGTGGACTAAGAAAAACCACGTTTAGGACATTGATTTCCTTTTAGATATCCATCTATGGCCTCTGTGTAACAGATTTTAAAAGCAAACATCAGGGAATTTTACTCCATGCAACGATTTTTGTTGCCAGTGGCTTATTTTCTCTCGTGAATTTTGGTCGTTTGGCATGGAAAAGACAACTAGGGAGTTGTTTTTATCAGATTTACAGAGAATGCTTACGACTACTGTGACCTATGATGAACAACACATTTGATGGGCATGAGGGGATATCAAAAGGATTGGGAATTTTTATCTTATTTCCATGGATATTACTTAAATCTCCCAATGAAGTTAGAAAAGATTTTGTAAATCAGAATTGCCTGAGCCTTCCCATGTTGAGTCGGTAGACGTAACCTCTCATGTAAAGGAATTGATGGCAAAGCAAGCAGGAATGTATCAATCGATACCTATCGTTGGTAATGAACATCTACAGGTAATCTATTCCAGTCCATCATGCATTTGAAACGAGTGCATGGTGAGATAGGGAAAGGAAGGAGTCATAATGTCAGGACATGAAAAGAGAGTAGCATGATATTCTCAACTCAAACTCGAGATGTTAGAAGGTGCTAAATCAATAGGTGCCGGAGCTGAGGCCATCGAAGGACTTGAATATGTGTGCCATGAACGGTGTGGTGTAAATGGATGAATACCATATTGTGATGTCACGGAGTTGCATGTCATGCTATATTTTGCATTTAGTTTTGATTTTAGCAGAAATTCAAGTAAATCAAACTAGAAACAATTATTTATTAATGAAAATTACGAAACTCAATTAAAATTGACCGAACAACCTCTGTTGGAAATGGCCGAATGTTTGTGTGAGACAAATTCTCTGACCATTAAGATGAAAATTCCCAATCGATATGATGCTTTAGAGCACTGACCGTCAAGCATGACACAAGGGTCTGATTTATATCGCCAAATTTCAGTGAAATCCATTGAATTCTATTCTTACTAAAGATCAACTGATACAGAGAGAGAGAGAGAGAGAGAGAGAGAGCTGGTGGTGGTGGGGAGGGGGTGGTTATGTGACACAAGAGCACTTGCAGCTAGCCATGCATCTCTTGCAGTCCTCAAGACGAGGCTTCCGCTTGCGAGAGTTGCATGTCTTGACGCACTTGCTCTTCGATATACCATTCCAAAGGCAACCGGCCACGCATCGAAGCACCGGCCTACACAGGGGGCACCTGTGGTCAAAATGATTGGTTATACAGCCTTTGCAGTTGCTGCCACCATTATCTTCATTCCGTGCCACACAATGCGATACTATCATTGTTAGTACTACTAGTACTACCACATTTGCCCACCTTACCTCTATCACGCTATCCATCCTCCTCTCAATCGCCTCTTTCTAGCTGCTTTTATGCATGAGAATTCCAGAAACGCTATTTATATCACAGCGAGAGAGAGAGAGAGAGAGGGAGAGAGTTGAAGTAGTGGAAATTTGTTCCTAAACTGGTGACTTTATAGGCAATTTGAGAGGAAGCTGGACTTAGTTTCAATGAAGGGCTGAATTTAATGTATTTCCTACTGGTGTGCTCTATGTGCATGGTTTCAGTTGGTTCCCCCAATGCATTTCAAGGGTTGACACTGAATACAACTGTTTTTCGGTTTCCGAGGCTTCTTGGGAAGTGTGCTTCTTTAATTGTTAATGAAATTTTGATTTTTAAGTCAGACATGAAGCTTCATCTCCCTCTCTCTCTCTCTCATTGTTGATGAAATTTTGAAACCCATACCGATATGACGCTTTAGAGCACTCTGAACTCTCTCTCTCTCTCCTCAAAACTGTTGCACATCACCAAAAAAACAAATAGGATTGTACACCATGCATACCCAATTCATGATGATGATACTATCTCTACTGGTGAAGTTCTGGTGAAGTTCTATAGTATTTCAATTATACTTCATTACCGTCCAAAGTTCATCACACGATCACAATTGTCCAGTAGTATTTGAATTTTTATAATTATTGTACTAATCAGATTTATCTAAAATTTAGGGCGTGTGTACATATGATCAAGTTGTACCAAAAATTATTAAAATAATAGTCATAAAATAAAATGCTGAAATTATCCCGAAACTTTGTAGGGGTATTTTACGTAATTTTTATCATTAAATTGTTTGTTTTATATTTTTATCATGTGAATCTCACTAAGGCGCACAAACCTATAAAATTTTAAATCATTATAATTTGTAAAAAAAATATTAAAATTCAAACACTATCATCTGTAATCGTGTGATAAATTTTGAACGGTGATAAAACTGTAGGTGAAGTATTGTAGAACTTTACTTATAGGTGTTTTGTAGTGTTTTCCATAATAAAAGGAAGCATCTACAAACCGCTTATAGGTGATGTTCTAACGTACTTCACCTATATCTCATCACCGTCAAAAGTTCATCATACGGTTACAATTGTCCGGTAATATTTGAATTTTTATAATTATTGTACAAATCAGATTTATCTAAAATTTAGAACATGTATACATATGATCAAGTCGCACTAAAATAAAATATTTAAAAATAATAGTCATAAAATAAAATGATGAAATTACCCTCAAAACTTTGTAGGGGCATTAAATGTCAATATTGTAACTATATTATAATGTCGTAATTGTAATAATTACAATATTATAATCATATAACATCAATATTAAGACAATATACGCCAATATTACGATACCATTATTTCACATACCCTTTTTTTTTTATTTTTCTTTTTTATGTCCTAAATGATGAGATATTAAGGGAGAGAAACATAAGATATTCAAAATAAATGTCATTTATATAATTTTAATTTTATAATAAGACATACACGCGTGTGCACACACATTTGCATATCAATTAAATTATATAATTTCTTATCAATCTTTTCAAAATATCTTGGTGGAATTACTTCTTTAATAAAAATTTAAATATGCACCTAAATCCATTAGAGCAGTAGTTGGAAAACAAAATTGCCAAGTTTTATTATTGTTAAGGAATGTCGGAAATCTTCTTCTTCATAGAAGGCTTCTCTTTTTTTCTAAACGTTTGACTCTCTGTTTTAGTTCCTTAATTTCTTGCTTGGTTTCGTTTATTTCTCTTTTCATATCTCCAACATAAAGTTCTTCCTTTGTCTTTCTTGAAAATCATAAAATTGTTTATTTTCTTTAGGTTTTGGTTGATTTAGATTTACAAAACACTCCTATTAATTGTAATTTGAAAATTTGTTTCATGCGGGCTAGACTGCACCTCTACATATGCGGTCGTGTAAAACATCCATCTTATAGATGGATGCAACTAGGTGTTTCATCTAAAAACTATGAAAACTAACGGTCCAAATATTTTTTTACAAGAATTATCATTTTTAGTTTTTAAAATTTATTTATATATTTATATTCATGATCTCCAAGTTAGAGATTACATGTCCTTAAAAATTAAGTCTTAAAATCCATCTCAAAATAGATTTATTAAGAGGCCCACGTTTCTACATATGCCTATGTTTTTACATGTGAGGGCTGGCTACATAGAAACCGGGTCGTCGTAATTTTGCACC